GGTTCAGCAGGTCTGTGAATGTAGCGGCAGCCTCCTGCTCCTCAGCTCCGCTGACTGCTATTTTCACAGAAATTTTGCGATGGCCATCCGCGAGAAGGTCACGACAAGGGTTGCATTTGTGCTTCTTCTGCACAGCGTGGGCCAAGTAGCCGGCCATGTGAAACACCGCGTCCTTGCCTTCTTCTGGTCCTTCCTCAGCGGGGAGAGACTCCGCAGCGATCTGTGTTAGCTCTGTTGCCACACGGTGGTCGTTCTCCTCTCGCTGCTGAGTAACGAGCCGCATATCTACCGCTACTTCATCCGGAGTGTACCCAGACAGCCACAGCAGGCTCTTGGCACGGATGATAGCCTCGCCTTCTGTAAACTGGCGCGGGCTGGCCCAGAAGTTGCCACCGGCAAGTTTTCTGAGGTGGCCGAAGTGACCCTCTATGCGGTCCGACTGTATCTTACCTAGCAAGACGTACTCTAAATCACACTCCTGCAGCAGGTACTTTGACAGGCCCACCAGGCCTATGCATGTCAGGACGAGACCCCGAAGAGTGTCAGAGGAGATTTTTGCTGTTCCCGGTTGTCGATCCCAGTCCTCCATCAGAGCGCCAAACTTCTCCAGGTACTTCAGACCGTCTTCATTCTCCAGGCAGATGGGCTTGAGTAAATCGTCCCTTTTGGCCACGTGCTTGTATGGCGACTTCACGTTCACAATGTTGAACCAAGTCCTTACTATCTTCAGGAACTCGGCAGTGTCTGCGAATCCGTCGCACCCAGGCTCCTTACTGTACACCATGAGCCCTGCTATGGTGGTCTCGTGGGTGGCGGAGTCTGCCAGCTTCACGTTCACGCGCTCTATGCTCGTCGGGTTGAGGACTTTATCGGAGAGACGATAGGCCATCTTCACTGGAGAGCCGAACTCCATTCTGTGAAGCTTCTCAAGGTGAAAAGATTTCACCGTTAGGGCAGCTCCGGTCTTTTCGAACGGCGGGCAGAGAAGAGTCTTCTTGTTCAACAAGTTAAAGAAGATGTTCTTGAACAGATGGACTGTATCGAACATCGTGTAGATTCTTCCCAGCCCATCACTGCTCCACGGGTTCACGATGTACTCGGGGTGGGTGCCATCTCCGAGCGCTCGGTGGAAGCTTTGATTTGTGCGATGTCCGTCGGTGGTGACAGAGACCACACGAAATCCGAGCTCCGTGAGGCCTTTCACTACGTTGAAGAACATCTTCACCATTTCCTGCGTTGTGACGTGCGCCACTGGTGACATCGTGACCAGATCCTCGTATCTGCCAGCGACAGATGAAATGTGGGTACAGAAAAGCGTTGTGGTCGCTTTTCCAGAGCCATCACTTGATTCCCCATGCAGTCTTCCGCCGGCGAGCTCCAGCGTTGGGGCGCAGTAGACTTCGTCCATAGCGAGATTTACTATCCTCTCTCTTGGCGTCAGCTTCGCGTTCCTCATCTGCAGGTACTTCATCGTACCGATTTCAAGGCCTTCCTGGACACTGAGTGCAGACGTAAGTCTCCTTAGTGTGGACCGGTGCGGTAAGATGAAGAGTCCAGAGTTTCGGAGTTCTTCATATAGCTGGGGACTTGTCCGGCTCCAGATGACAGCTGTTCCGAGGAGTGATGGGCTGTACTTGCGGGCGGTTCTGGGACAGGTCCTCAGTCGGAGCTGCTCGACAGCGAACACACTGAAGACTCTGCAGTCGGTTGTGTCGTCCTCAGCCAGCTTCTGCAGCAGTTCCAGGCAGGATGTCATTGTGCACTCTTCTAGAGGCTGCGCCTTTAGAAACGCCAGCACGTTCAGCACTTCCGACGTGGTTTGAAATCGTTCTGTGTTCCTTACCAAGTGGGCCGTGGCGGAGGTAGACAATTCTCGGCCAGACACATGCATTTGGTACCGCAGATCTTGATATATCGTCAAACTGCGCACCACTAGAGGGCCTCGCGCTACGTCCAGGGTCTCCATTCGGATGGACAAAACGTCCTCCTTCAGCTCAGTCGCTGGCATCTTGACGAGAATGAATCCCGACGGCATAGTGTGAGAAGCCAGTTTCTCGGCCATCTCAACAGCAGAGAGCACCCTTTCCTCCTGAAACATGGTGTCTTCTTGACTTTTCCAGATCCGCCTCTGCTGTTCCCGCCTCGCTGTAGGCGTTGCGCGCGACGTGGGACGTTGAGACACCTCGGCCTCATCCCCGCCGTCGCTGAAAAGAAAAGAAATGCGTATTTACTTAATTCATGTATTTTGGCTGGGAGTGTATGCATCTTCCAAAAGTTGCCAGAGGCCTACTAAACAAACCGACATCTTTAATTTGCGCAAAAACTGCATTTTTACCAGTCAGTTGATAAAGGGTGATTGAACGCCTAATCGTACCATTTTCCTTTCTCTGTCTTCATCGAGTGGATAGTTGTAGTAAAAAAACTGCAAATGATTTCCGGTGACATAAAATTTTGACAAATTATATTATATGACCCGTGTCCTGCTGGGCCTCTGGATGTTTAACGCCCTGATGGGGGTCATTGATAGCCCTCCATCTAACTCGGCTCCTGGGCCACCTAACGACAAACAAGTGGCATTCGAAAGAACGTCAAAAATCATGACGAAACTACTTCAGTCATTTTTTTGGTCAGGTCACCAGAGGTCTTCAAAGGTCAAACATGACCTATTTCAACATTTTTCGACAAACTGGCGCATAAATCGGAAACCAGAACTACAGCGCCGTGCAAAATCGCATTTCAGATATCTCTTTTGACGCTCTGTCGCTAATGTGTTCTTAGATTGGACCTTAGATCAACGGTTTAGCCTCCAGAGAGCGCGGTTAAAATGAAAAGGTCACAAAATTGGCCTGACCTTAGGTCACCAATATCAACATTTTGAAAGGTACATTTTACAGACACTGTTAATCGTATCAATGGCTGAAAGTGTCAAGGCAATCGTTCAGTCGGTGTAGCCATGATGAGCACTCAAACTTTTTATTAGGAGAAAAAGATTTTGCCATGCACACGCAAAATATTTACCCACACACACTCCGTCAGAAGACTTGGAGAAGTTCGTTACGATTACTTTACATATTTTGACGAAATGGTAGTTTCTCACATAAAACAAAATATATAGTCAGGCACTTACTTGATGGGGAGCGTATATATGCTTGGAATTGCATCTGGTCTCAAACGCAGATTTTTTCGGTCAGTTCTTCTGGCTGTTAGTGCGTCCTCGCAAAAACTCTCCGTCGAGAAATGCAGCTCACACACTCCACTGTAGTCCAGAGATATTGGCTTCAGGGGCTTTAGTACCTCTATCCACTTCTGACGACGGGTTTTCTCCACAGGGAATTTGAAAACAGACTTTTTCTGTTTATAACCAGATCTACACTTAAGAACAGCACATTTACGTGCCATTTTCAAAATGTATGCCTACTAAAATCTACATATCAGCGAAGTGTTAACAATCAAAATATGAATAAACTTACCAATACACTTCAAAAACTGACAGATGGACAGCAAGATGGACAGAGATGTCCTTCGATGTGCATACAACCATGTGAAAGATATTATTTTCCAAAATTTCGCTGCATATCGCGTCACGTTTGTCGTCTTAAGGGACACTTCCGTTCGGTTGCATATTTTAATCCTGCAGTTGCGATAGAGAACAGAGTCTACAAAAGATCAATTTTATCCAAAAATATTTAATTGTTTATGATTATAGAACTTTCATTCAAAAGATGAAGGCCAGACGAATCTGTAGATAAATTTTCGCGGCCATTCTACCAATTTAAAGTGATTTAAGAAGCTTGTAAAATTTTGCCTCAAATGTCGATTAGGCCAAGCCAGTGCACAGTCCATGTTTAAAGGGGTCTATGGATGGAGACATCGGTCTTCTTGGCGAGCACCCTGGGTCCAGTTCATATAGAGTCCCTAGTCCCATTGCTGTTACGTGACACTTATTGGAAAGGGCGACCCCACAATGGATTCATATAGCCACTCTTACACACCTGCACCAACGTTTCCCAAAGTGTCCCTTTGATAAGTGGCACTTTGGCAAAGTGACACTTGCCGACTGGCCTTTCTATATGAACTGGGCCCGGCCCTGGTGAGTTGCCGGGGCTGAGCCTGACCAAAGGATAGGCCGAGCAGCCCCCAAGCACTCACCGCACCCGCGGGTGCGGTGCCGCGCCCGTAGCCGCGGCTACGGGCGAGCTCGGCTTACGGGCAATCCCAAATGGGATAAAGTTTCCCGTCCAGTTCAGATCAGGGGGTTGCGGCGTGGAGGAAGATTTGAGTTTCCTGAGGATATTTTGAATACAGAAGCTCTATGAAACATGAAACATGTATTTTATATTATTTTAACGGTCAAAACAGCGGCCGATGTCGGTCCGACGTCGCCCCGACGTCGGCTGGACCTCAGCAATTGATCTCGGTCCGACGTCGGCCCGACGTCGGCTGGACCTCGGCTGGACGTCGGAACATGCGGGCATATCCGACATCCAGCCGACGTCGTGCCGAGGTTGGACCGACGTCGGGCCGACGTCGGCATGCCGATGCCGAGTTGCCGACGTCACCCCGACGTCGGGCCGACGTCGGCATGTTTACTGGGTTATGACGTCACGACGCACAAATTTTTTTGAAAAATAAATTATTTAGAAGTTCTAGACCTCTTACGGAAACAAAAATAGCACCATTCGATTCTCCGTGAAAAACCGCATAAGATAGACACCTTTTTAGGCCTTAACAACCAACTTCAAAATTTGACCTCACTTGACCTGACCTTGACCTGACCTCGACCTGAAATTCATCCAGATGTGGTCCATATCACTAATTGAGTGTGCCTATTGAAATCTATGAATAAAATGACCCATAAAACATGTGTCGCACATGCCCTTTTCTATATTTTATTTCTATAAGGAATTGACAAATTTTAATCCATCGTTCTCACTTTAACCACAATGCCGGCAACACAACTAACAGCGCCCAAAACAGCGACCTCCAGGCCAACCAGTTACCTTTCTACGGAGTGTTTCCCTCGCCGAAAACGCGCTCCCCTCACCAGCCCTCCTGTCCATGTGAAACTGAGCTCCGAGTTGCCAGTTGCCCCCGGTGAACCTCGCCCGGGGGCCCGGCCGATAACGTATCTGCACGACAGCAGCAATGGAGGGGAGGGGGAGGGGGGGCGGCCCAGGCCCCCGGGCGTAGATAAGGGACCAAAGCGGGCCGGGCTTTAGTGAGAAACGGTGGGATATTCGTTCCCGTTAGCGTAACCGTTAATCTCCCGGCTCATTCTTAGATTGCGATTGATTATTGATCAACGAAGTGCTGGAATCACTCGTGAGAAAATACCCAATATATTTCGGCGTATTAAATCGCTGAGACCGCCCATGACCGACTAATACCTTTTAAGAAATATTGACTGCACCTCAGTGACATCTCAGTGACTGAATGGCATGTATATCCCAGCAGTCTATTCATTGTATAACGTATTATTGGACATCTAATCGTCTAGTGTAAAAAAGCGTTTTTCCTTAATCCACAAATATAGCGAGAACGAGCGAAGACTCCTCATTCAAACACAATATCGGACATGAGATACATTTTATTGCCCAGGTGATCGTTCAACAAGTACATGAGTTTATTTGGTCTTCCTACTAGACAACACACTACAGCGAACCATCCCTCTCACAACCGTATGCACAGCAGAACAAGACACGCGCCGTACCGTACGGGATCTCCACGGGCCGTAATGTACGCACTCTACGGACCGTATGCACCTCATAACACCGTACGGGCCGTAACGCATCGTATCCTTTCGTACGGAACTCGACCAACCAGACGGCACTGAACAGTGAACAGAGTACATTATTGAAACGAACCTACGGAACTCAACTCATATACCGGCACGGAAAGGACAGTTATGCTCCATATACTGCTCCTTATCGTCATCAACAAACTAAACGGTACGAGCACGAGGAAGTGCTCCGTACGTTCCGTTCTCGGCACAATGTCGTCCTTTGCTCTTCCGTTCCGTCCCGGTGTAAAGTACGTTCGTAGGTTCGCTTCGTTCCGGACGGCACCTATTTCACCGCACTTCCTTTCGTTCTGTTCCTTTCCAGGCACGTTTTCGTTCCGGACCGGACGCTCCACATCGTTCCTTTGCGCTCCGTTTGCATAACTCGGCGTCTATATCACAATGACGGCCGTTTGGGACCCGGCCGAGGCGGGGGCGGGGGCGGGGGCGGGGCGTCCCGTCACCGTCGCATGGCCCCGGCTCCGTTTAGCTGCTGTACCAGACCGTAGCCGTACGGGTACATGTTACCCTGATGGTGACCCGCTGAAAACACAGACAGACAGCACGTTAGGACAGGCTGCGCTAGTGTAGGGCCTTTTCATTAGTGCTAGTTTAGGTCAGTCAGTGCATACAATTTGTGGTAGCATTGTCGAGTATGCTAGTTATAAAGCGTTGCAGAGTCGTATTGTATGATATTTTAGATCATAACGTTGACATACAGAAACCCAGATGGCTAACCTCAGTCACATGGTTGGTGAGCTGATAATATGCTCGTATTTCAACCAAACAGACACATGCGGACAAACTGCCGTTGGGACGACAGCCTTCAATATATGTCATGTCCATCATGTAACCTCAACGATAGTCGATTAGTTCTAACTCGTCCCAAACCTGACCCTCGTCCTCGCTGTCTATCTAACCCGTCCAGACTACCCAATCTATCCCGTCACATTCCCATCTTTCCAATATATCTCGTCCATTCTATCCCATCCACCCCGCCTATCCCATCTCATCTCTTCCGATCTTTCCCGTCTCTCAATCTACCCCGTCCCATCTATCCCATTCCATCCCATTCATCCCAATATCTGCCCCATTTATCCCATATATCTTGTCCCGCATATCCCATCTCCTCCACCCACCCCCTCTACCCCTCTTCAGTCCTCACCTCTCTGCAGAGCGGCCTCCTGTTGGGCGGCGGCAGCGGCCGGGTGATGGGGGTGCGGGGTACCGTACTGACCCTGGTGGCCGGCCGCCATCATATGGCCCATCATACCACCACCCATGAAACCACCCGCCATGTACGGGGCCATTTGCTGCGGCGACATCCTGAGAAAGACAGATAGATATACAGGAGTTAGTGGTGACCAAACCGCCGGTCATGGGGCCGTCTGCTGCGGCGACATCCTGAGGGACAGACACAGATAGATAGAGGTCAGGTACAGACACACAGACAATCAGAAAAGTCAGTGTCCGCCATGTGCGGGGCCATCTGCTGAGGTGACATCCTGAAAGACAGACAGATAACCAGGGGTTGGTGGAGGTGACAAACAGACAAACACAGACAAACAAACATAGAGCAGACGATATTATGTTATGACGAACATATCAAACTTGGACCGGTGGCAGAGAATATGCTCTGACACTATATAAATACGGTTGTGTGGAGAGGATATTAAATATTTTAGCAAACAGCTCACTGGCAAGCTTAACTCTGACAGAAAAAAAACATATGTAGTTAGAATTTCAAATGACCTTTTCCTCGATAATTAATTGAAAATGCAACAAAAAGCAAATCTTATATTGTTTGGCACTATTTCTTCAGAAAAAAAACATTTAAAGCAGCGGTCAACATTTCATAAAGAGACACTAGACAGACCCCAGTTATATAGGATACTTAACATTCCCCTAGCTTCTAACAGGCCTCAATACGATTCCTCGATATAGGCCACACAACCACCCACAGATTACCATTCAAGCTCTTCTATCTCTCTAGTTACTCTATCTCACCTGTGGTAGCCATTCTGATGATGCGACAGGTACGGCATCATAGCTGCTGGCGGCATGGCGGGCGCGGCGGCCGGCGGTGGCGGCGGCGGCGGCTGCGGGGGCGGGGCAGCAGCAGCCGGCGGAGCCGCGCCTGAGCCAGAGGAGCGAGCCTGCCGCCGTCGCTCGTGACCAGAGGGTTGTTTAGCGCCGTAGTAGGCGGCTAGGTGGGCGTGTCTTGGCGGCGGAGGGGGTGGAGTCATACTGTGGCTGCCCACCGAGGCGGGAGGCGGCGTGGCGGGCGGGGGAGTGGTGGTGTTACCTGCGGAGAACAGACGAGCGAGGTCAGATGATGGACTAGGGTGGATCAGTGGACAGTGCGAACATTCTCTGCAGTCCACAGGGAAAAGTAAAGCCTGCTTCTAGCTATAACTGAGCTGTGCACCTCAAATAGACCTCATTGGTTACAATATGGTCATGATACCTGCGCAAAGATAGGTGTCCACCGTTGGAAGGGGCACTCAGCCTAAATGTTAACGGTATGGACATTTGCCAGCCCACCTCAGTGGACATTTACTTTACACGCAGTTCGGTCACTCGTCGCTGAAAACGCAGAGTACTTATCGACTATCAAACAAACTCGATTAGATAGCACACTCGTAGACGCCTCTATCGCAGATAACACTGGCCAGCAGTGTCTCTTATCAGTTAGTCTGAAGCTCGATCACAGACGGAAATATGCTACGGTGAGATGGTACGAAAAACACATTGGTCGCCAAAATTTATGTAGCTAATGAATGTTCACAAAACGCAATAGCCTCTGAAAAAACATTTCACGTGGTATTTCGTCCCGTTTTATGTCACCCAGTATCAATCTACCCCAAGCACGCTACTCACCGGGCGCTATATCCATGATGGTATTGGTAAGCTGCTGCAGTTTGGTGATGCTACACGAGCTGGCGGCGGCGGCGGCTGCTGCGGCGGTGGCGCCGGCTGCGGCGGCCGCCGCGCCCCCGCCGCCGCCCCCTCCCCCGTAGTAACACCCTCCGGTGTGCTGGAGACGGTGGCTGTAGCCGGCCGGTGCCGCGCCGCCGTGGCCGCCCTGGGGGTGGATAGGGGTGGTTAGAGACGAGGGAAGGAAAACATGGGTAGTACATGAAATACAAAAAAAGGCAGAGCGGTAGAAATATAACTGCTCTTAGAGGAACAGAAACTGCCACGGAGAGAAACCAATCATAGTATCATATAAAAAATAAAGCAGGAACTCTCAAGAGAGAGGGTACTTGGCCAGGGTACTCTGTAGGTCGATAGACACAACACTCGGTCTGCCAAGACATAAATACGGTCAATAAAAACAAAAGCGGAATGATAGAATAACAACGAACAAAATGATTGTGAGGGAGGGAAGCGAAGTGAAAGAGAAAAACTGAGGGAGAAAGAGACAGGCAAATCGAAAAAAACAAGCATGAAATAAATGAAAGAAGAAAAAAGGAAGACCGAAAGACAGCGAGAAAGAAAAATGAACGAAAAAGAGAAGAAAAGAAAGGGAAAACAGCCTGTCAGACACTGGGACTCATTCTTACCTGTGCGGCCAGCCAGCCGTGTTGCGGAGCGGCCAGCAGCTGCTGATTGTACCCATACTGCGGGTAGTACGACTGGACGTGCGCCGCAGCGGACGACACCGCCACGGCCGCCGCCCGCTGCTGCTGCTGCTGCTGCTGATGTAGCTGCTGCTGCTGTTGTTGTTGCTGTTGTTGTTGTTGTTGAGCAGAAGTCGGCGCCAGGCCCGGGGACGCCTGCAGCCCCCGTGCCGCAGCCGCTGGGGAATGCAGCGCGTGCTGGCTAGGACTCAGCACCTGCTGCTGTAGGTGCCCGGGGCTGGGCGCCAGCTGGGGCGCCGGCTGCTGGCCGGGACTCGGTGCCAGCTGGTGGGGCACATGACCCGGGCTGGGCGCCGGGTGGTGCACCAGCTGCTGGCTGGGGCTGGGCGCCGGGTGGTGGCTTGGCTGGTGGCTAGGGCTGGGCGCCGGCTGCGGAGTTGGCTGCGGCGTGGACTGTTGGCTGGGACTGGGCGTAGGATGGTGGGGAGGCTGGTGGTTGGGGCTAGGCGCTGGCTGATGTGAGACATGACTAGGACTTGGGGCCGGATGGTGAGCCATTTGCTGGCTAGGACTGGGGGTCGGATGATACGTCAGTAGTTGGCTAGGGCTGGGCGCCGGACGGTGACTCGGACTGGGCACTGGCTGGTGCATTGGCTGTTGGCTGGGACTGGGAGCAGGCTGATGGCTTGGACTGGGGACCGGCTGGTGCATTGCTGCCGGACTAGGCACTGGATGGTGGCTAGGGCTAGGCACAGGCTGATGTGTCGGCTGTGGCTGGCTAGGGCTGGGCGCCGTCTTCTGTACCACCTCCTGCCTAGGGCTTGGCGCCGTTTTGCAAGCTGCCTCCTGCCTAGGACTAGGCGTCGGCTGATGGTTGGGACTAGGCACCTTATGCGCCGGTTCCTGCTTAGGGCTAGGCGCCGGTTGATTCGTCGGCTGCTGGCTGGGGCTCGTCTCTTGCTTCTTTGCTGGCTCCTGTCTTTTGCTAGGCGCTGGCTGGGGCGCTGGTTGTGCTTGGCTAGGACTAGTCACCGGCTTATTCGCTGCTTCCTGTCTAGGGCTGGGTGCTTGCTGAATCATTAGCTGCCTGTTAGGACTGGCCACTGGCTTCTGAGTTTCTTCTTGCTTGGGACTGGGCATTGGCTTGTTAATTGCCTCCTGCTTGGGACTGGAAGTCAGCTGGCTGGCTTCCTCTTGCTTAAGGCTTGGCGATGCTGGCTTGCTAGCTGCCTCTTCCTTAGGACTTGTCGCAGGTTTTTGTACCGTCTCCTCGCTAGGACTAGCCGCCGACTTGTGGTTGTTCTCTACCGGGCTAGCCTCCGGCTGGCTGGGCGTACCAACTGGACTGGATTCCACCTTCTTTTCCTCCCGACTCTGTGGAGACTGGCTGTCTCGTGACTTCTCTGTCTGTATTGACGGAGACGGCTGTCGGTTCGACACGTCAGTCGGTCCGTCGGTCTGACGCTCCTCCTTTGCTGCCTCACTGCCTGATTCCGCCCGGGAGCTGTCCAAGCCGTTGGTCTCCACAGCTTCTTTCTCAGCCGGTGAGGACCCAGTGCGGCTGGACGGTCGCGGCTCCTCAGCCTTGGGGCAGCTTCCCTCCCTCTCAACCTCCTTCGGACTAGCCTCGGGCCGTTCCTCGCTATCAGGACCCGCACCAACCGTCTCCGATAGTTCAGTCCGATCCTCTCTCTGCTCAGACTCTGGTTCAGACACTGGAGTCCCGCCGGCCGGCTCCGCAGCTACTGATGTGTTGCTCTCTTCACTCGAGTTGCTGACGTTGCATTCGTCCTGTGCCGCCTCCGGCTCATCCCGAAGAACCTCCGGCTCCGGGTCTGCTTCCGCTTCTGCTTCAGGCTCGGATTCCTCCTTCATTTCCGGCTCCGGCTCCGGGTCAGGCTTCGCCTTGGATTTCGTCTTTGTCTTTGGCTCCGGAACTGGTTCGGATTTCGGTTCGGATTCAGTCTCTGCCCCCGGATCCGGCTTGGTGTCCGGTTCAGGCTCGGATTTCGGCTCCGGATCCGGATCCGGCTCCCGGCGGGCGGCTGCACGTGCGGCTCTCCGCTCAGCAGCGGTCTCACCGTCCTGAAACAGGGCGCACAGCTCGGTCAAACACTGGTACCGGAATGCTTACAAACAATCTACATATATTACTATTTGTGGTGACGTAGTTTCTGTCTGTAACCGAGGTCGCGACATGGTGCTACGTAGCGCGGGTTACAGGCCACACCGTTGCACCTACCGCGCTGAAGTTTGCGCAACTCATAGAACAAGGATGGACAACGTGCCTTTGATGGGTCTCAGCTCGATCGGATCGATAGCGAGCGCGTGGCGCGTGCCCAAAAAGTGCAAATTCGCGTCATAGACTTTACATGTATTAATCGGCTGGCAAAAACGGGCGAAAACAGCCAAATTTGCCCGACACGGGTCCGGTCCCGGTGCAATATCTCGGTAACCGTGGGCCCGACCGGTACGGGGAAAACAGCATCGTGTAGAGAATCGAACGGGCTATCGAATGGTGTGCGATGCAGGGGTTGGCACGCGCCACGTGCACCGGGGAGGACACTTTCTTTTGAAAAATGGACGTTTTGGACGGATTTTGGAATTTATATTATTTCAGGTGATCGTCAGACGGAATGAGTTGAAACAGCGCCTATTAGCAATAAAAATGTACCGTCTCTCATGGAAAAATTGTGAAAAGCTAATTGATAAAAAACAATGTGGAAAAATTCGCTGAATTAAATGGTATTTGTCCAAAATGTGCCACTAAATAATTACACAGATTTTGCTGCTTAACCTGATACGTTTGACAATTGAAAATGCTATCATTGGAAAGAGCATTCAATTCTCTCCAAGATCCAATCATCACGTTTGCATGACAAGCAACAGTATTCTTAAAAATATAAATGTTTCAAAACTCTGCAAAACGATTTTTAGTGAAAATTATCTACGCCTTTAATTTGTCATAAAACTACGCGCCTAAATTATAAAGCACATTTGACAGATTCTGAAGTGGAAAGCATGCTTATCAGACACGGGCACCTCGATGCGGTGGATATTTTTTCCACAAACCAAAACGTTTAGCCGTCAAAAAGCAATCGACCGAAATGGATAGATAACCCAACCGACACAAGAAAAAAACAAACACCCGCCGATCGAAAATATCCCTTTTCGCGTTGCGGAGCACGCGGGTCACCCTAGTCTACAACTACACGGACAAGGTTCGTAAGTGTTAACAGGGCAGCTCGTGTATGAACGCGCGAGTGAATACATATGCCTCAGTAAATATTCGTCATTTTCCTCCGCGGTCATCTTTCAAGGTGAGCCCCACTAGATATTGCTTTCCCAACTCCAAAGCTCGTTTCTCCCCAGCTCATTTCTCCCCAAACTAACAACCACTCTCCCAACGATTCCGCGGAGAATCAACCACCTCCCCTGGTTCTCCACCCCTATGGCTCGGTCCCGGCGCACGCTCTGCCCCAGAGAGTCAACCTCTCGCTGATCTCAGCTACTGACCTGCGTCCGTCCGCCGGCGGCCGGTGGCTCCGTCCCGGCACGCGACGCCGCCTTCTCCTTTTCCTTTTCTTTCTCCTTTTCCTTCTCTGCCTTCTTGGCCGCTCCCACTGTCTGCTTTTGCTTCTTCTGAAAATGAGACACAACATCCCAGTCAGCATATACTGAAAATGACAACACTCAGTAATCAGTCACTGGGGAGAGTCAGAACCATGAAATAAGCGTGATTGGGACTCGCTAAACAAATATTCGGCGGGGCAATGAAAGCAGCTGTTTTATTCCGTTGAACATGCAGAGTATGCAGATTTTTGGTGACTGGAGCAAAACAAATAAATACTTAAGAAATCGGCTGATATTTAACATACTAAAATACCGTACTCCGGATGGGGCAATACACTTTAGAATGATCGTTACGTCTGGTTAGCATGACATTTTCAGCAAAACAGGCAAGTCAAGCATCATTAATCACTTACAGCCAGGCGTGGCCGTCCCTGTTTCTGCCTTCCCCACTTCCTGAACGAGGTACCGCGCGGCACTCCCTTGGGCCAGCCGCGCTTCTTCTTCACCGGGGGTGCCTCAGTCTCGGCGTTCGGGGCGGCGGGGGGCTCCGGCTTGGCGGACGCGGCCGGCGGCTCCGGCTCCGGCGAGCGAGCCTGGAGACGACAGCCACAGTCAACTTCACAGACAAGAAACACCAGACTGGCACAACCAGATACACAGCAGAAGAGTAGATCACAGACAAGGTAAGCTTTAACGGTGACCTCCCGCACTGAGTTGTTCATTGCCGCACGTAATATTTCCTATGCCGGTGAGTGTTTACGATGAAGTATGAGTAAATGCGGTCTCAATAGAGAATTTGAGGACCCCGAACAACGTTATCCTGTCTACCATTCTATTATAACTTACCCGAGCCGGTGATCCGTTGATCTCCGTCTCCCCGTCTCCGTCGAGTCTCTGCTGGGAGACGGTGCGGCGTCTCCTCCGGCCGGACGCGGCCGCCACCGGCGTCACAGAGCTGTGACACGAACACAGAAGCGGTCAGGGCGCGGGGGCCAGGCGAGACATTGAATGCAAGTAGCTCGTACGCAGATTATGTGAAATAGAGTCGAGGAGACAAATCAATAGCAAAGAGCGGGTGGAAATTGATATGACGAAAGTCATCCAATCTTATCCAAAAATATACTGGACAACTACTTTATATGATACCAAAGGTGATATATTTGTTTAGTATCCACTAAGCAGTTTAACATTCATCAGTAAACATTTCGCACACTGAATAAAGCAATTGTCACATAAGTTTAGAGAAGAATAAAGGGCATCACAGAGTCAATCAGACACGAACTGGCAGACAGACAAAGGAGTATACCTTGTCAGATTGCCGCGGGTCAGAGCCACCCCAAGACAAACTGAGTAGCACGTAACCCCAGACTCACCGCGTGCTGCTGGTGGGTGTACCGCGTCGACCCCGGCCGGCCCCTCTGGTACCCTTTGCCTGACCCGAGGCAGGAGTCCGATCGGCAGAGCGACGAATTCGCGGACGACCCGCCCGCCTGGCCTTCGGCTCCTCCCGTTCAGAGTCCGAGTCGGACTCAGATGAGTCACGCACACGAGACTCACTGTCCCGAGACACCCGCCGGTGCGTCCGTGGGGTTCGGGCCGAGTCGAGTTTGGATTTAGAGTCTGATTTGGATTTGGAGTGGTGCTTGAGTTTTGATTCAGACTTGGACTTGGCGTCTGACTTTGTCCGCACTTCTGGTTTGGATTTCGTCTCAATGCTAGCTTTGGTTTCCGAGCCAGTTCGCGACGACTTCGCCTTCCCAGACTTAGTTTTCAGTTCTGATTTCCGTTTTGTCTCCGCTCGCGACTCCGAATGCGTTTTTGTATCAGCTTTGGCTCTTGGCTCCGCCTTAGCTCTCGGCTCAGGCTTAGTTCCAGCTGACTTGGCCCTGGGCTCAGCCTTGGCTCTCCCATCAGCCTTGTCAGCTTTCGTTCTTGACTCATTCTTTGCTGAAACTCCACTCTTGCCTCTTGCTTCAGCCTTCGTTCCTACGTCCTTAGCTTTCTCAGCTTTCCCAACTGCGTCCGCCTTTGACCTCTCCGTCTTTGTCTTCGCCTCTGCCTTATTCTCCTTCTCCCTCTTCTGTTCCTCCTCCCCACTCTCACCTCCCGACTCATCCTCACTCTCTCTCGGCCTTTTCGCTCTCCCATCCGACTGAGACATACGAAACGCCATCAGCTCATGTAGTTTAGCCTGGCGGGGTCTGCTCAGCGGTCGCTGTAAGGGCGGTGACGGCGGCGCCGGCTGTGCGGGCGCCGCGGGGGCGTACTGCGGTGACGGAGGACGCTCGGGCCGGCGCAGTTTGAGAGGGCTGACCGAGTGCCGGGATTCGGCCTCCGACGAGTCGCCGTCCTGCGGGAGGGAGGAAGAGACGTTCAGTCAGTCAGTCATTTTAGTCATTTGGTCATTTGTTACGTAACCCACCCTTTGGGTCTTTATTAAAAACACAACAGATAGCAAATATATTTATCAAATTAAATATATTTATCTCCTTCTCCACGGTAAAATGTTCATGTATTCAAATCGATCTTCCCTTTTGTTCCCTTTCTACCAATGGTAACGTATTTTAATGTCATCCTTTTCCTTGCTTCATTTCTACTCCATCTAATCTCCTTCGCAGTAAATCAATCAGGCGCGTTACTTAATAACCCCTTTCACCTTTTACAAGTACCCCCATTTAACCAAGTACCTTCTCACTGAATCAGCTACAGGGTCCTGTCGCAGGACAGTGTCTAACAGCCAGCCGTGTAGTGTTGTCCTCACCTGATGGCTGCGGTGTCCGTGCCCGGAGAGCAGCGGCGTCCACCGCAGTGCGTCCGGATCCAGCGTCAGTCGGGTGGCGCTGGCTGCCACCCGGCGGCCGTGAGCCTCTACGGTCGGCCAGTCGATACACAGCACGCACCTGATGGAGAACGGAGAGAAATACATTAACCAATCAGACATAGCATATTGTTTGCCAACTAAAAGATGCAAAAACTGAACCAGAAAAAAACGTGTATCGGCCATTCACATCTAAATTAACAGGATGTTCACCTCAAATGAACAACTCTTTTCTGGGTTATCAGTAGCTGTTGATAATTTTGGCACTCATGAACTACATCGCCAAAACTAGTGGCGTCCGAGCTGAGCTACCGGTGACGATCTAATAATTACAGTTTTGAGCAGTAATTTCTGCTAACACCAACACTCGCAAATTCCGTCTACCGCACACCATCTCAATGAGAACATCGCTGAGACCATTCGAAACACCCCTACTCGGATAACAGAAACATACATAAAAATCGTCACTGGAAAACACTGGGCACTGGAGTCTTACCACCCAAACAGCTGCCGCCTTGACACCGGGCTAGCATTCTTCGCATCCATACGTACCTGCCGTCGGGCGTCTTGCGCACCATATGCAGCAGATGCAGCGCCGTCAGTATATCCTGCGGATGCACTCCAGTCTGATGCATCAGTTCAGACACCAGGGGCCGTTTCTGCCGCTGCGGGCTGCTGCCCCCGCCCGGGCGGTGCTTGTAGAGATAGTCGAGCACCACGGAGCGCCAGTACGCGTGGTAGGAGACCCGGCCCAGGTCCGAGAGAGGCTTCTCCGGAGTGCCCGGCTGGCCCTCGGCGCGCGACAGCAGGTAACCTGACGGAGGGGGGGGGGAGTTATGTACAAATCAAACAGGTATCCTAAGAAGTAAGACAATCATACGGACCAGAAGGTGACTTGGTGGTGATATGGCACACCTAAGGATACGGTTACACGGTAGGAGGGCCAAAGTCTGTCGAAAAAGCGACAGTTTCGGCAAGTATTCCGCATAATGGCGGAGTCACGCCTGGCATCCGAACAACAGGCTATAATTTTCCTAGTCTCTGTTTAATCACTCCCATTTATCAATCACCTTACAAAGCTAACAACTGCCGTAACAGACTCAATGGGTAGACGAGGAAGCAGGAAGACTGTCCTACTCTATCGAAAGACACCATATTCACTGCCCCCGGTTACTTACTGAAGTCGATTAGGAACCTTCCGAAGCCCTGTCGCTGGTAGTGAGGCATCGTCATGATGCACGACACGTTGTACTTTTGCGAGCAGTGCTTCTCTTTGGAAAAGTACCCGACCAGGTGGCAGCCCTGTGAGGACAGACAGAAATTGTCAGATATTGGCCAAAATAGCGCACAAAATCAGGTCTACTACAAAAGTAGGCGAAAAGGGAGCATGTACGACGGAGTTTGAGAGTGAGTGGAAAATACCCAGACAATTCATTTCCCACAAAAATTAAGCTGAGAACAGTAAAGCACCCATGGTGCATGAGTAAGAAAGAATACGATAACGAACGAATGAAAGAACAAAATATAAAATGAAAAGACGAAAAATAAATAAGACAAGAACGACAGCTCGGCATATCGACGAAAGAAGCTAGAAAGGAAGACACAAACAGCAAGAGTCACAGTTCGTCGTACCTTCTCGTCGTTTTTGGTGAGTACGTAGAAGAGGAACGGCTCGACATCATAGTAGAGCGTCTTGTGGTCGAGGAACAGTTTGGCCAGCAGACAGAGGTTCTGACAGTAGATGCGGTTCACGTTACCGTCCACCTCAAACACCTGACGAAAGGGGAAGAGGCAGGTCAGACAGGTTATAATTACACTTAAAGCTATACCATATGCACACTGCGCAGACCTAGGCGGACAGACGGGCTGACGGGCTTGGGTTTTTGCAGTGAGATCTGTTTCTCCGGGTACAGAAAGCGACGTAAAATACCACAGTGACAAAAATACTGCCGTTTTTGTCCAATGGAAAACTGAGAGCAGCAAGAGTGTGACACAGACATCATTAACCACTCGCTCCCTTCAACCTGATCGATTTCGATAGGTCAAGTGTTTTGACGGCGGGTCAGCGAACTACCTAGACAATATTACACTAAATTACTGTCCATGGGGACGGGGGGGGGGGGCATTACGCGGGACAGATAACACTTTTTCTGACGGGGCAGAATTACTGTAATGAACGACGTACAACAAAGTCCAGTCAAGCCAAATGCACTTACCGACAGTCCCCCGGACCGGTAGATTTCCGTTCCGGGCGGATGTCGCCAGGCGCACTTTCCGGCGTGCCGCTTTCTGCAGCCGTTCGACTTCATGTACTTGAGACAGAACTCGCACAGGTAGAGCTTCGGTAGTCTGAGGGCGGGCGGGGTGGAAATATTGGTCAGATAACGTCCTAGAATCGCACAAACTACCAGGAAAAGAGAGTGAACGGTCTGAACTTATTAGCAGCCAATGATATCGAAAATCTATCGTTATGAACCTACGATCATAAATACAATATTTAGACATGCGCTAGATTTATAGGCATTTCACGGCTTTGTTGCACTTGTCTCCAAAGTGACATAAGTAGTTCGGTTATAACAAAATCAAAGACCGACTCTCTATCTACACCACTTACTCATTCATCATATATAACTTGTCATTCAGCCCCTACCTTAACTCTCATCACTCAACACACATCACCATTGAAACCAGCCTATCCATCAAACTACCATCAACCCTCCATCCCCCATCCGCAGTTCGCTCACCTGGCATACTCCTGCGGGTATGGCGCCGAGTACCAGGTGCTGATCCGATGTCTCCCAAACTGTATCGCCGCCGGCCAGCGCTCGGCCGCCGCCGCCGTCGGGTGGCTCGCCGTGGGGTGAGCCGGTGGTGGTGGGTGACCGGGTGTCGAGTCTCCGGGGGTGACGACGCCAGTGACCTGCCCGCCAAAACACTGCCACGTGTCGGGCGCCGAGAAGTCAGACACACACACACGCATACAGACAGCTGAGATGCAGAGAGACGGACAGACAAGCAGCCAGCCAGATAGAGGCAGGAAACAGGAAGATTAACGCAGCAGATTACACAGAAATGCTGGAGATTAAACATAGACAAGCCACAGATGCTAATGTAGTCCAAGTTAGGGTGCCGTAGTTGCATTCAACGCCAAGTGACCGTAAGTGCAATTAGGTGTATGAGCGATGAAACTTTAGTAAGCAGTGAACTGTGCTGCAGGTGGTGTAAAGTGTAAGCAGTTAGTATCCATTTTAGCCTGATTTAAGTCTGCATTATATTTTAGCATATCAATCGTTCTCATTGTTAAACTTTTTTTTTGCGCATTTAGCCTGATTTGATTAAAACCCATACCTTTACCGGCATCACTGACGCGGTTACTAAAATCATTCACCACAGTAATCAGCGTGACGCATGCCGGCTAGCCCTAACACCTAACACACTGAAAGCGCTACATGCTACAACAATCATTCGCATTCTTTCTAGCTGTTCGCTGTGCCACCCCGTGCTCCCTTCTCCCGACCCTCTGACGGGTCATTGACCTCAGCATTGGTCAGTTGACCATACTGACCTCGTTGACCTTAGCCTTGGCCCGTCGGAAGCAGAGCACATCCCTCTCGGTGACACCGGGCGGTAGTTTGGCCTGGGAGCGCAGGGCCGCCTCACTGGGCGGACGACCTGGGGAGGAGGAAACGGGGCGACGGTGAAATGACAAGAAGCCGACGACAACCTGCGGAGAAGACAAGACGCGGAGAGACGGTTCAATAAAGAAAACACAACGAAGCGTTATGCAAAAGGTACGAACAGCGAATCGCGGTTAAGCAGCAAAGCTACGGTTGAGGTCAAAGTAAGAAGGGACTCAATATTGAGACAGTGTTCGCTATCTTGCACGAGTGAGTGGGAAAAGTGTGTTCAAAATTGAGCAAAAACCCTAACCAGGGCCATGACGGCAAGATGATTTTCTCGGGGAAAATTTATCGCAGTCCTGTAGTCTGTTAACTTTGGGCCAGTTTCAACCATAATAGCAAGTGAGGGATGTTCTGACCCAACCGTTCGCATAGCCCACACCAGTAGCGCCCCTGACAGCAGTTTCCTGTACCACGCGTTCCACTTACCATCCACGGTCGGCGCCACGAGCAGGTGCGGCTCTCCGGGCAGCGGCGGGGAGCTCAGCTCAGCAGCGGCTCCCCCCTCGGGCGGCGGACTGCCGGCCGGTACCGACACAGACAAGGGCCGAGCCGGCGTCGGAGGGTGACCCACAGTCGGCGCGGGCGGGGGAGGAGGGGGGACAGGGCCAGGAGAGCCTGTCTCCCAGCTGGGCGAGCGGCCGCAGGGGCTGGTGGCTCCCTCTGAGGGTCTGCGTCCCTCAGACCCCGCCTCTCCAGTGGGTCGCCTCTGACGTCCGCCGGGTCTTTCCCGTCTTCCTCCCGTTGTGAACAGATGACTCAGTCCGTCAAATAACCCCCGGAGCTGCCCTCCGGCGCCCGCCGCGCTGCTGCGTGAACTCGCTGACGACATACCGCTCGAGCTCTGCTCCTCACCCGGGGCGGCCGCTCCGGCCGGCGGTAGGGTAACCGTCACAGACCCCGCCGGTCGGCGACGGGCCGAGGTAGCGCCCGCTTCCTCTCCGTCACTGGAGCCGGCAGAGTCCTCACGGCGGCGCTGAGGGCCGCGCGCGGCGGGCGTCCTCTCGTCCTCGTCAGAGGAGGAGCCGGAGGAACTGGCCTCGTCACCGCCCGAGTCGACGCTGCTGCGGCGACGAGGAGGCTTCACGCGCTTCCTCGGTCGGCTGTGGGGGCGGACACGGGAAAAGAGCTCAAACATAGCCACAAACGGCAATAGATTCACCCACACCAGCCGGGTTTGGATTTTTTTTTTTGAGTGTGTGTGTGGGGGGGGGGGGGGGCAGTAGAATGAGAGTAAGCATTTGAAAGCGGTGCCAAAACTTTCTGGTAACCACTAAAGAAGACAGCACACTCAAGTCATCGGCTCATAAATTGAATAGCCCATTATCCCATTCGGTCCTACATTTTTTCTTAAACAAGTTCAATCTGTCTGACAACCGCACAACTCACCTGCCGCCGCTGGTGGACCGGGCCCGTTTCCTGGTCACACCGGTGAACGTCCCACCGGGTGACACGGCGGACGGATGGCGGCAGATGGGACACAGCCAACCGGCAGGGGTACGGCCCTCCACACAGACGCGGTGGTAGACCCGCCAGCACTGACTGCAGCTGGCCACCAGCTCCGGCTACGGAGAACGAGAAAGATAATTACGGTCAGAGAGGCAAGATAGTTGTACTTAACGCACATGGGGAAGGCTTCGGACGGACCCGGCCTTCGAGACTGTCAGTAAGGGGGGATGGGAGAGGAAAGGAATATCACCTCAGTTCTAGCCAATTCTGTATGTTGATTCAGTTCAGCACCGGGAATACAATGCATCGAGCTGCTACCGCAACTCAGCACCATCTCACACGCCTGCCAACTCAGTCATTACCAGCCTACCCGTCAACTGGCCTAACTGGATGACTTATTATTTTGGGCGCCCATACTAAGGATATCATCACCAATCATACAAGAGTCTTTCACCGTCAAAAAAGCCAACTTACCCTTAAACCCGTCCCCACCTCTCATCCCTCATTCAGCCCAATCCTCACATCTCTCACCCTGAACTCTCCATCCTGTTCTCACTCCTAACCCCCACCCTCACCTGATCGGCTGGCTGCTGGCACAGCTCACAGCTCTGACACTCGTCACACGTCCAGCGCTGAGTGCGTGTGTACAGCGCCCTCGCCGCCGGCCTCAGGCAGCCGGGGTGGGCGGCCGCCCGGCAGCGTCCACAGTGGACGAACGGCTCGGAGCCGCCCGACGGACTCCGACTGGCCGTGCCCAGACACTCGGTGCAGACGTTCATGTGTGAGGGAGCCTGTCGGGAAGGGAGAAGGGGTCAGGCTAAAGAGAGACACACAGGAGATGGACCACTAAAGCAGCTTGGTGTCAAAGGCTGTGTGTCATACAAGTTATGAACCAATTGTGGCAAATAATGCCTGGTATTGCTGTCATTTGAGGGACAGCCGTAATCTGATATACTTCACAGAGATTCACTATAAAAAGCAACACGTACTGTCTACGGAAGCCTAATGCACCGTACCATTGTCCGCTCTGCTTCCACAATGGGCGCACCCGACGCACTCATCACTCCCAGCCAGACTGCCAAACCTAAGACTTGGCCTGCCTTTAAACATGAGTAGACATACAAGATTGATCCAAAATAAATCAAAATGACGCAGAAGAACATGTGATTTAAAAAAGAAATAGGCTACAACTGTACAACATAGACCTCAACGTCTTCTTCGAGAGCTGCTCAAGCAGCCTTAATTTTTGAATCTTTAGGGGGTACGCTTCAATAGTGCCGCCTCTCACTTTCATTCACTGCATGATGACCAGCTTATCGGCGCCCCCTCTCTCCCTTTCCCTCCCCTCTCGCACCTGTTTGGGCGGTGTGACGGGCGTCTCAGCCCGCTCCGCGCGCCTCTTCTTGGGCGTGGTCACCCCCGCCGCCGCAGTAGCCACCGGCGTAGCGGTAGTCGCCGCCGCCGCCGCTACCGCAGGTCCTGACACAGGCGTGGTGGGCGGGTGCCGCGGTTTGGCGCGACTGGGCCGGTGCTCTGGGGGGTGAAGTAGGGCGGCCACTGCCAGCGACTCCTGTGGCAGCCGGTAGAGGTCGCCGCCCGGGCCGCTCTCCTGGAGGACGTGCCCGTTGGCGATGGCGCGCCGTAGAGATACCTGGCGGTGGAGAATAGAATAGAAACATAAGGTCAGATTAGCGGACAGTTGAAGTAGAATATAAATACACAAATTACAGGTCAGTAGGCGGAACTATGGTCAAGCGTACCCATTTTCGGGAACGCATTTTCGTTCCCATATTTGGGAACGAGAAACCCAAATATGGGAACGCCATGTAGGCATTATTTAAAACAAGAAAAAGAACCGTTAAATGACGTCCAAAAAATATAAAAAGATCGTGAACCACCTGATATTTGTCTCAATATTGTTGGGAAAGAGTTTGATATTGTAAGGCCCATCGTAGTTTCAAATCGTTCCCCTATTTCTAAAGCAGTCCATCATCCGGGCCGCGAGCCCAAATTTAGGAACGCTCTCGTACACTGGCGCTGCAAGCGTTCCTTATTATGGGAACGGCGTACCCAAAATTGGGAACGATTTCACCGACGCCTTTCAGGGGCTCTTTTCATTAACAAGCATCACGTCCAACGCCGCAAATTATTGTTAACGCAACAATCATCAGATGACCTTTCCGGCAAGACCGTCGCATGTTTCGCCCGGTCTTCTGCGCTTTTATTCCCGTCGATCTCGCAGCGGGCACGCCCCCCTCTGCAGGATTACGTAATTCACAACGCTCAGCGATGTTCAACAAGGTCTTCCATACCTATATCCACCGTCCGCACCGAGAATGGAGACATGTCAAGCACCTGTCTGTTTATCACCGATAGTTGACGAGCACAAGGAAGTATCCAAAAATGGGAACGCTGAATGTTACACCCTCAAAACACCTAGTCCCAATGAAAATCTAGTTTTTTCCTTTCTTGATGAGTGTAAGTGGCAAAAGGCCTGGTAGGATGGGCACGAGGAATGATCGAAATCAGCATAAAAATTATAAATAAGCCACACAGAGCGACCTATATAAGAGAAATTCCCCCAAAACGATCACGCTTAGAAACACGGAAGACAAAAACCACGCTCATGACGCTCCTTATAAAACAACTCTAAACAGCTAGCATCCAAATAAAATATGTCTATCTGGGATGATATAATACAGCTGAAAAATTTTAAACCACTGAAACTGAGTTTACAACAGTAGTTCGGTAAAATCACTGACGTTCCATGCGGTCGTGCGCCCCGACACCAAATGTCACCAATATTACCCCCGGACTGTCCGCGTGTTCGCTTGCATATGTCAGCATCTGGTGTCGCTAGTATGAAACTTCATAACCAGGCGAAAATTATTATACTTGACCTCAAAATGTAAAAAAACGCTTCATTTTCCTTAAAATTGCAAGTTAAATGTAGTGTAACCCATGTTTTCACCATTCCGTCATTTCAAAAAATCATTAAAAATATCATTCGACGGTCAATTTCCTTGTGCAACGGTCAGATTAAAGATAATTTTATAGAGACTTAGTAGATACTTAAATTAGCGTGCACTTTTTTGAGACGTGATGCACTAATGAGTTTTAGTGGGCGAACGGCCGAAAAATTACCCTCCGTTCCCATAAATGGGAACGCCCGTTCCCATATTTGGGAACTCCGTTCCCAAAAATGGGAACGTTCCTATATTTGGGTACTCATGACCATAGTTCCGCCTACTGAGGTAAGATTCAGAGCTTATCCTTCAGGCGCATTGAAGCAACAATAACAAAAAAAATAAGATGTCAATTGTCATCGAGTCATAGACAAATCAATACTTCCCATCAAGTCTACTAGCTTTTTCCTATTTAATTTATTTCCTAAACAGCTAAATGCTCATTTTCGATCTCCTAGCCCCGTCCCCAATTATATCCATTTGCGCTTACCTTGAGTGTCGTATTGAGATCAGCACCTTCCGTCACTTCAATATTATGCGCTTGCAGGATGTACTCCTCAATATCCTTCACCGTCGCTTCCACCAGATCCTTGACGCTCTTCACGATGATCTTGGTAAGGTCGGTGCCCTTGCTGATGACTACTCTTGTCGGTCTCGGCGGAACGTTCGGCACCTTATACGACACGACGTTCTTGTTGTAGACGCGCTGGATGTAGCCGCCTTGAATGGCTCGCTCCAGATTGGAGAGCACCTGTGTGGAGCGAGGAGGGTTGGTTAGCGGCTGTTGTGTCCCGGGCCACGCGCACGCACTGACGTGACCGTGACCTCGCGTGACCTTGACCGGCCGGGCCGAGCGGCCGAGCGGCCGGGCGGCCGGGGGGAGGGAGGCTCAGTATCGTCCGAGCGGCACTGGCGTATAGCTCACCGGCGCGACTGTAGTGGCGCGGAACGATGCATGTTCGATCAGCTGGTCCAGGCAGGGTGAAACAGAACAATGGCCAGAGTCAGAGTCGGTGGGCACCGACTCAGTATTAAAATCCGGTTTTACAGAGCCTAAGTAATGGCTGACGTTTACTTTTGCCTTCAGATTACCAGCATCACACATAAGAATATTATGTTCCGGCGTTAAAATACTCGACCCATTGATTCATATCGGAGTGGACCTCTAAAATTGATCAACTGCAAGCATACTGGAGCGCGTTTATCTAGCCGGGCGATCCGACACTGCCGTCAGTCGTTCCAAAGACAGGCAGGTTTACCGAAAATAAAAGTTCCAGCGGGTGCTTCGTGTACAGACAACCCACCGTGTCTGTCTCATCAATACCAGTCACCGAGCCTTGCTGAATCACACCGAGTGAGCCAAGCCTGAACGAAAATGGCGTCAACGTGTGAGCTATGCGTGCTGTTCACACAGCTGTTCATTGTTGCAGCTGTGCTGTTCACATACCTGTTCATATTTGTAACAGCTGTGTTGCTCACATACCTGTTCATATTTGTTACAGCTGTGTTGCTCACATACCTGTTCATATTTTTGTAACATCTGTGTTGCTAACATACCTGTTCATTGTTACAGCTATGCAGATGTTACATACCTCCTATTCATTGTTACAGCTATGCAGATGTTACATACCTGATCATTATTACAGCTATGCAGATGTCTCACTGCGTTGCAGATGCGGTCCTCGCTGGGCCTCTGTTTTTGGTATTTGATTTTTGTGATGGCCTCCGCCAGCCACTGAACCCACTCCTCCAGGGTGCCGCCGCCCTCCATCTGAGACATTGTCTGGAAAAGGAGACAGAGACAGTCAGGTAAATAAGCACTGCACTCTGAGACCTTGTCTGGAACGGACACACAGGACTGTCAGACACAGGCAGATACTCAAAGACTGTCTGACACATTGTCTGGAGAAGAGACACACGGGACCGTCAGGCACAGATTATTATAATCTTTCGAGAATCTCACGAGTTTAATCATATGTATATCCCCTTCTGTGGCGAATAAATTATTTCTATTCCACGCAAGTGAATAATATGACATAAAAGCTTAAATATTCAAACTTCTTCAAACTTCAAACATCGCTTCTCATGGCAGGAAGCGTACCTACCTAGTGTTGCTGACGTCACCTAGAAGTTTGATAATTCTCGCTCAGAGTACGTTATTTAGATAGTCCTTAAGTGTAAGAGTTATCGCAATAAATATGTTTTGCAAATGTGGATAATCCAGAACGAGATGGAAGACTGAGATAAGCGATGTTCTCCAGCATGTACCGCGACCACTGACATTGTCGGCCGGTCATGCTCTCTGCTCAACTGACGGAAAGTGCCTAAGTGACTCGAGCCAAACTGCAAGCGTGTGGACCAGCCATTTCGTCCATCACTCTACCGAAACTCCCCCAGCGGAACGCGCTGGCAAGATTTCCCGTTTTCTTTCTTCTTCATGGGCACGATGAGACTAAAAACAAAGAACATACAGCCTCGAATATCCGCCCGGAAGCAAGAATATGACAATTATTCAATGCTAGAGGGCGCACCAGCAACGAGGCTATATCGTACCCGTTTCTTACTTCGTGTAATCAGTAATTGGGGTTACATGTGACCTGAAGCCGCAAAGAACGCAGATAATGGAATCGAGTAAGCACAACTCCAGCAGGGCGCCCGGACAAACCATTACTATTCCCCCGTTATCACCAGTGTCGTACTACAGACCAAGCTACAGACCACGCCACTGGTCTGAACACATGATACGATCCGTCCGTCATCTTCACTGTCACATCTCGTGACCCATCTGAACAAGATGTTATAAATGGTGGGCTGCTGCGCTGAATGACAAGAGGTCTTGGCTTTTATATGAAGCGGGCATAGGCCACAAGCAATCAAATGCCATATACACATGAAAACTATTTAATAAAATAAAATAAACAAAGAGGTTGAAGTAATATGATGTAACAAATGCCGTCAAATGAAACGTCCATTTAACGTTACAGCATTTGTATTTAGATGCAGATGTATTGTATACATTTGTATTTAGATGCAGATTTAGATGCAGATGTATTTAGTCTGGATAAATGTTCGACAGAACATATGCTAAAACGACAAATCTCAGATCCCGCCATGGAATGCCAATAATACTCTGGCCTTCTTGGCTTTTGATTGATCTTATCAATGCTGAACGTCCAAAACACTGGCACTCCTCCACCCCCCCAGTATTCCCAGCTCGTGCGTAACCCTCAGCGGTGTCAACTGTCAACTGCCAGTCTCCCACACGGCTGCACCTCCGCATCATCGGAAACTGCGACTGTATTGACTCCCCGATATCAAACGTACACCTTTTTTCAATCCGAATCGGCATCCGTTCACTCAAATCATTCCCACGCACAAGGGGGAAAAGCTCAAATTATTGAGCGCTCAAAATATTGAGCGTGTGACGTCAGAGGCTCCCATAGGCGTAATGCTGAGGGCTCAAAAAATTGAGCCGTTTCAGGAACACGTTTTGCAAAAGCAACTCGCAACACCTAGGGAGAAATGGCAACACCCTAGGAGAATCACTAATGATGCAAAACAGATTAGGCTTTCATATTTTTCACTGCTCAAGCTTCAATGATTGGGGGAACACCAATTTCTAGGTCGAAATCTTACGGCATATCAGGCAAATCAGGATGCCTTAAAAACAGGCCAATATTTATGTCGAAATAAAAGTTATTTTTTGTCCATTCACGTTTTTTTACTAGGGTTCTGTTGGAAAGAGCATTTTTCATACTACCCAAAATGATTGCGACTCAATTTCACATTACCCATATCGGAGAATATTTTTTCATTTGGCGGCGCCGTTTGTTTATTTCGTCGCGACGTCTCCGGTCGCGTGGTTGTCGTCGTCCTTGTGTTGAAGGTAAGTTTTTATCGTTTTAGTTATACTTAGATATTAAAAGGTACACTGAAAAAGTTTGAATATGCTGTGATTTTAAATTTGGAAACACGTAAACGTCAATCAATTCACGTTTTCCTCGATTTGCGTGCAGATAAGTAACTGTCGACGAAAGTGGCGCCATCCGATATGATGTTTTGAGGGAAAGAGACACAACATATTTACGTGAAAATTTTTGTTTTTTAGTGGTCAAAGTGCTTCAAAGAGGCTGTGAATGTTTTCTTTACACAATTTTTCATTAGGTATGACGAGGTAAAAGGTAGTTTCAGTCTTAACTTTCATATAATTGACCTTAAAACATACGATAGTCCACTGCTATCAGTGATTGAGTACCTTGATATTTGGCATTTCTTATTAATTTGAATGTATTCTCTATCCATATGTCCTGATAGTAAGTGACAATACTCTGCCAATATGTTTCCATAGTTTTCACATTCATTTTCCAGTCCTTTACATAACATCACAATTTATAATAAACAAAACTCAACTCCTTCGTTACTTCACAACACTGACAGCATGACAGACTGACAGTCAACTATTGTGTGTGTGAATGCTGAAACAGGATAGCCACTTTGCTGACTGCCTCATTTGAAATAAGATAAAAATGATCCTTTATATCATTTCCATCTGGAGGATCGGAGTCAATGGAAAAGGAAGGCCACTTTCAAGCCTCAAGGTCTAGGCTGCCAGACACCAGTCGGCAGTCACCACCAAATTTATAATAGATTAATTCATTATTATACTTTGAGACCCTTAGGTCGCTGGATCGGCATCACATTTTCAGTTTCAATATAGTAAAGGTTTTTATTTGTATGATGTGACTGAAATATTTTCCTGAATCAGAATTTAATTATCCCTAGGTACCTGGTAGAGGTTTCGGATTTAATGCTCATTGTTGGTGTGCAGCCAGGATTTTTTGACAGGTCCAGATAGGGAATCCTGAGCAATTTTATAGTAAAGTGGTCTCCTTATAATCACCACACATTTTATCAAAAGAATTTGCAGAATTCATTCAAGGAAAGGAAGAATTTTATCAATGTTGCACCCATTTCTTAGACGACCTGGCTGCATCTTTTTTTAGCTCCTGTTGTATGACATATTTTCCATTTTGTTCCACTGCATAAAGAAAAAAAAATCGTTTGAGATCACCAAACAGCTTTTCTTTTTCTGGCAGGTCTGCACAACCAAGCGGTCGCTGGCGAGGACGTCGGCCGTCCCTGTGGGTAAGGTCATCTGCTCAGCCTTTGTGGAGATCAGCAAGACGTCACCAAGATGAAGATTTCGCTGGAGCAGAAGCCGCTGACCCGTGTCCGATCGGGCAGGTCATGCTCGATGGCACGAGCCACAACTTGAACGACTCTGTGACATCAACAAGATGGTGGAGCAGGTGAATGAGTTTGGCGACGTGTTGTGCGACTGCAAGAAGGGTTGTCTGCGTGTTCTGGCCGGCGGAGCGGCGACGCTGCGCAGTCTGTGCTGGTGGTGAGCAGCTGGCCGTGGTGACCGCGGGCGCCCACATGCGCCGACAACCTGTGCGGCTTCGACGGCCCCGGGACAGCCCGATGCCGCCCACTATGCGACGCCGACCGCGCACTGTCCGCACGGCCACATGGAGGTGTGCCCGCGCCTTTTGCCCGCACGCCGCTACCTCGCAGCTGGTCTGCAACCACGCCGTCGCCGCCTGTAGCCCGATAACAAAACGGCTGTCTGATAATGCCGCGTGTTCTTTGTGATGTTGCTACTGTGATGGTTGCTACTGCTGGTCTGAGACTCGATGTTTCCATTCGTCTTTTACATTTAAGGATTTGATAATTATAAGCTTAGTCCGAGCTTAGGTCGTTTATATCATTTGTTATATGGCATATTTTGGATCAAAGCAGTACGACACTGCCTCCTGCTCTTGTGATGTATGCTGGCAAGACGCAGGTTCCGGTCGCAGGTCACCCGGTTCCAATGTGGTCGGGCTGGCATGCGATAATGTGATGTTGTTTTGCTCGTCTCTGTGTTCCACACTTGGTGATGTTTGTGAATCTAACCCACATTGTATAGTATTTTTGTTTGTTTGCGGCCGATGGCCTTGTAAGTTGTAACCGTGGCAATACAGTTTTTCCTGTATAATTCTCCAATATTCAAGCGTGGATGGATATCTTTCTGTAATCACGTATTCCCTTCTCCCAGTACAGTCAGAAAATATCAATACAGTATTCATACGGATTATTCAAGCCCTGTATAATTATTTGAGGTGTGCCGAATCCGAAAGGCGACCGATAAAACTACTAGCGGAAAATGTGACATGATGCCATGGGTTTGTGAAAAGTTTAGGTACCACGTAGCATTCAACTTCCTGCATTTCTGTTTCAACTCAGTTTAACGTATTTCAACGAACATAACATCAAAAATGGCAGCCAGTACCGGCTTCACCTGTCACGGAGAACGCTCAATAAATTGAGTGTAGATGCTGGCCGGCACTCAATTTTTTGAGCGCCAGCTGACTGTCGTCTGTCGTGGCGCTCAATTTATTGAGTATCGCGGTCCCGAACGACAAGTGGCGCTCAAAAAGTTGAGCGTCTTTAGGGCACTTTCTTTCCAAAAACACCGATATAAATTATCACGGCGAGTGTTCGAGAAGAAACCTTGTTGCTCTCTCTTGCCATTGATACCTTATTTGGATACGATATTTGCCGTAGTGTGACGCTAGAGGCATTGTAAAATACCATCGTTTCGCCTATTCCTTCATAATGGGGCCCGCTCAATTTTTTGAGCGCTCAATAATTTGAGCTTTTCCCCCTTGTGCGTGGGACTGAAATACGGCAGCGGGCACCTTACCTCGACAGGCACTCTAACAACTCGACACTGGAGCA